ATGGACACCCGAGAAGTAGTGCATGAACCTGTTACTGTAAAAAGACAAAGATGGGTTTGCTTGGGAAAGGGAACTCACTTTGTAGGTTACCAGGATGGGGAGGGAAGGGGAGGGATTAATTTCAGGCTAGTTTGGGCCTACATGCTGATGGTGGGAAAGGGGAAAGAGGAAGGCTGTATGGAAAGAGTCAGTGACCACCATGATAACATTAGGAAAAGGGAGGACATAAAATTGTGCACATAGGACATAGACGACAAAAGATAATACCACCCATGTGCCCACAATACTGCATTACCATTAACACCAACTACCAGGCTACAGATAAACACATAAATATCTGAGAGGATCAGAAGGGGGTCAGTGAACAGAAGGATACTCTAGACCGAGGACAGATTCACCTTGGTCTAATCTTACACAGACACCAGTGATATAAAATACCTGCAGTCCTTACAAAACAACAGAAAACAGACACAGAGCAATCCCCACAGACACCCAGACACTGTGGGAGAGAGATGTAATGGATCTACCATCTCAGGACCACAGTACTGGGGACACCGGACTCAATTGGCAAAACAAAATACATAAAAGCTTTGTTCCACATCCTACATTAATGAGTAACTACTGGGTTCTTAAAAGCTTTCAAGCAGCCATCTAAGATGCAGCTAATGGTCTCCTGTCATCAGAAGTGAAGAAGAGATCAAAGAAAACAAGGGCATTTGGAAGCAATCAGCCCTAGGACAGGATAGTCCTTGAGACCAGAAGAACAGATGGTGCCCAGCTACCAATGCCAATCACTCAGGAAAGGATCAAATCTGGGGACCCTGGATAGAGTGGGAGGGAAAACATGGAACAAAGCCCCCAAACTCAATAATGACCAGAATTACTGGTTGGATGGAGTCTGGTGAGACCCCAATACTATGGCCCTGGGATACATGCTGGGCCTGGAATAAAGCTCACGCCCAGGAGCTGGCTCTCAGCCCAATAGTAAACAAGATGTGTGTGCAGACCACTCAACCCAGGATGACCCACCCACATACTCTATAATAGTACATCCCTTGGAGCAATCGACCACAGGGCACCAGAGGGGCAACATTCACAGGGAGGAAATGCAGGACACACAGGAGCATAACTCTGAGGGGCACAGGGGGCTTACTGGGCAGGGAGGGGAGGAAACTGGGTTAGGGTTGGGCATGGTACATGGGGAGTGAAACTAAATGTACACATGAGGTTGAATGTAAAACAAACTCTTAAAATAAAAAATTTCTTAAAAAAAGACTCTCAAGAAAACTCAGATCTCATACACCTTTTATAAAAAACAAGAACAAAAGAAAACAAAAAAGGTATTTTCATGTTGGCCACCACCTGTGTGTCAGTGTGTTGTACTCTGGTGCCGTGCATGTTGCTGTGAGGAGGGAGGCTTTCCCTCCAGTAGGTCAAGTGCCAGCATGGTCACCTGTGGTGGGCAAGTTTCAGCAGAGCTTCCAGACTAAGACAGACTCAGAAGAAGGAAGGGGCCATCCCCTTCACAAAGAATTGGCTGAGGAAAGCCTTATGAATAGCAGTGAAATGTGGTCTAATACATTACCAGAAAACTATGAATAGTCCTGGTAGAGATTAGGCTGCAGACCAAATGACAGAATTTTGCAAAGCCAACAAATTATTCATTGAAAACACTTCTTTTGTCAACATAAACAGCGGCTATACACGTGGACCTCACCAGACGAAACACACAGGACTCAGATCGACTCCATGTGAGGAAAGAGGCGATGAAGAAGCTCAATGTCTTCAGCCAAAAAAAGGTCAGGAGCTGACTGTGGAACAGACCATCAACTGCTCATATGCAAGTGCAAGTTGAAACTGAAGACAATTAAAACAAGTCTACCAGAGCAGAAATAGGACTGATTATATCCCACCTGAAATTAGAGACCATCTGAAGAACAGATTTGACACATTGAAAACCAATGACTGACAACCAGATGAATTGCAGAATGACATCAAGAACATCACACATGAAGGAAAAAAAAAAGGTCATGAAAAAGACAGGAAAGGAAGAAGGGACCAAAATGGATGTCAGAAGGGACTCTGAAACTTGCCCTTAAATGGAGAGTAGCTAAAGCAATGGAAGAAATGACAGAATAAAGAGCAAACAGATTTCAAAGAGCAGCTTGAGAAGACAAAGTCAATCATTACAATGAAATATGCAAATA